AAGTGAGGACAAGAAAGACTGTAATGTATGTATGAAGGACGGTCAGGTCTGAGAGTATTCACTGCGGAATTGAGAGTAGTGGTTAGGAAGAGGGTAGGCGCTGGTGAAGGCAGTGGGAAGAATGTTGGAAGCACATAAAAAAGTCTCTTACTGGGAAGAGTTGAAGGGCAAAGGAGATTTTAGAATACCTGGTTGCTGCAGTTGTAAATAAAGTTCTGAGTCCAAGGTGTTTGGTATGGCTTGTTTAGGAAAGGAGGGGAAATAGGGACATTGAAGTATGATGCACTGTTAAGTAGGCACTGAATTAGACAGACTTGGTTTCAGATCTCAGCTTTACCACTTACAAACTGTATGACTTTAGATAAGAAACTCTTTAAATTCCAGTTTCCTTATCTATAAAATGGGAAAATAAGATTTACTATGGGAGGCGTCTGTGAGAATTAAATGAGATAATGCATGGACAACATCTAGCTTGGTGTTTAGCATACAGTAAGGCCATAGACCAACACATGTTATTTCTGTTCCCTTCTGATTCTTGTCTTTAGAGAATAAGACCTGCTTAGTGACATTGGTCACATGAGTGGCTGAAAGTGAATTTCAGCTATATTCCACTGGAATTAGATTGTAGGCTGGAGTTGTAGAAAGGCATTCCTAGCAAATGAGGAAGTATAGACCTAAACAGAAGTCATGTAGCATACAGGGAAAATCAAAAGCTCTGCGTTCAAGTTCTAGTACCATTCCTTACTAGCTCTGTGGTCTCAGGCAAGTTTCTTAACTGCTTTTGTCCTTGGTTTCCTTATCTGTTAATTTAGACACAGTCTTTTTTGGGAAGATAAGAAACACTTTTCCTACAGATTTTAATACATTTTGACAAATGTATATGCCTGTGTAACCACCACTACAAAGTATTTAATATTTCTATCACTCCAAAGGTTCCTTGTGCCTTTTTTTTTTTTTTTTTTTTTTCAGCCAATCCCTACCCTTCACTCCTGGCCCCAGGCAACCACTGATGTACTTTCTAGAATAGACTTTTCTTTTCTAGCAGTTCAAATAAATGGAATCTATACAGCATATATTCTTTTGTGTCTGGCTCCTTTCACTCAGCATAATGTTTCTGAGATTGATCTATGTTGTTGCACGTATCACTGATTCAGTCCTCCTGCCCTCACTTTTTTTTTTTTTTTGAGACAGAGTTT